TGCATGACATGGGTGCACTTATCTACATGCAGGCAATACACTCATACACATAAAATAAAAATAAATAAAATATATAAAAAAAAATTCTTTGTGTTAATCTGCTTACTCATTTCGAAGAACACATGATAGAAAATGAGCCAAACGGTGCTAATATGTCTCTGAGAACTGAATTTCCATAAATATTTATGAAGTAATTACATTCCAAGCCCTATGCAAGGTGTGAGGAGGACATGAAGAGACACAGTCACTGACTTGGAAGATCCATAGTTTAGCCAAGGATGGTCACACTGATGACCAACCACCCAGCACTACCTGTTACCCTAGAATAGCAAGAATTATATGCTGTGACAGCTGGGAATAACACTGGAGCTATGCACTGCAGGATGATCAGGTTTTTGTTACATGGGGAAAAGAAAGGGCTGAGAGAACGTGAGAAGAATAAAAATTATGAAGAGTGTATGACAATAGCATTTCAAACCTGAAAACCCATCTCCCCTGCAAAGCACAACTGTTTCTTCTAACATGACTTTTGGTCCATTTCTTAGAAATGCAATCGCTGCATTTCAGCCCAGTAGGCTAGCTACCCACATCGAGGGATATGCACAAAGCAGGCAGCTGTCGCTGAGAGTGCACACAGCCTGTCACTCCAGTGCTGTTAAGCATCACAGCATTTACCTGCCTTCCAGATTTTTAGACTTCAGCTGCTGTTCCCCCTCATTTATCTGTTCTTCTAGCACCTTAATTCTGGCTTCTCTTTGCTCAGCAGTTTCTTGTCCGAAGAGTTTGGTAGTCATTCCCTTCAGTGAGAATGTCCTCACAGTCTAAAAAGAAATAGAAACAGATGCATGGATAAACAAAGTGTGACATATACACAGGGGAATTTATTCAGGCTTTAAAAAGAAAGAATGCTGGTATAAGCTATAAGCTTCACCTCACAGAGATCTGCATGCCTCTGCCTCCTGAGGGCTGGGATTAAAGGCCTGTGCCACCACACCCAACAATATAGATGAATCTTGAGGGAGTCCTGCTAAGTGAAATATGCCAGCCACAGAGACAAATATTGTACATTTCCACTTAGATTTAGTGTCTATAGTAGTCAAAATCATAGAAGCAAAAGGCAGATGGTGGTTTCAAGAGCTGGGGAGATGATGAATTGTTTGACAGGAACAAGTTCCACCTTTAAAAAATGAGTAAGTTCTAAGGACTGGCTGTAAACAATGTGATTATATATGACATAGGAATAACTTTTACAAAATAGACAGTAGCTGGACTAATGACTTAATTAACCTTGCAACCAAAAAACTAAATCACATGCTCTTGTGACTTGGGTACCTGACCTTAATTCCTGGGAACCTGTTTGTTGTTCCACCCAAAGATAGCCTGAGAATTAGCAAATCAAAGTGCTGAAAGGCAGCTCTTCTTCACTGAAAACAATGAAGACTGAGAAGAATGCTTGACATTCTGTGTATGAGATGTTTCAGGTCTAGGAGGAAAGGGCAAATTGTCTGATATGGGAAGGGTGGATCCAAGCCTACAGTTTCCTAAAACTGATGCTGGAGAAAGGTTTTGAATAAAAGTATGGTCCTGACTCAGTGGTATAGTTCCAGGAGACATCTGGGGGAACCAGTGCACTCCAAGTTTTGGCCCACTCTTAAAAACCAAAGTTAAGAGTCAGGCTGTTTTATTCAGGTATTAATTTTATTGTTGGCATGATAATGCCGCATCTAATACTATTTGAAAACAGTCAACATGGTACATTTTATGTTATGCATATTTACATGCTCCCACCCCAGAAAACAGAAAACCTTGCTCATTTCCCCTAGCTCAGAGAGATGCTTTGTGAGTTTCACAGCCAGGGGCTCCTAATCTGAGTTCTAACACTTTCCAAGATAATCCAGGCACAGGACAATCAAAAAAGGAGAAATTCCAAGTATCTTCTTAAGCAGCTGGAAAACATTCAGGGTAAACATCAGATTAATTTCTTATTTTATATTAGTGGCCGTATCTTTAAAAATTACTCTGTGAAGGCTAAGGAGATAGTTCAGTGGGTATAGTGCTTGCTGCAGAAACATGAGGATGTAAATTCAGATCCCCAGTGCAGATATGCATGTCTCTTAACACCAGTGCCGGCACAGAGATGGGCTGATCCAGGGAGCACACAGAGAGACTGTCTCAATAAATAAGGTGGTTAAATGACCGAAGAAGACATTCCAATGTTCACATCTGGTCTCCATACACACACAGAGGCATGAGTGAGTTTACCAATACACACATGTACACACACTCACATACCACACACACAAATTACTCTATGACATAAAAGAGATCAAACTCAACAGATAACTATGGAAATAAGTTGAACTTAAGAAGCATGTGAGCTGGGCACATCTTTAATCCCAGCACTCAGGAGGCAGAGGCAGGTGGATCTCTGTGAGATCGAGACCAGTCTGTCTACACAGTGAATTCCAGGCCAGCTGGGGCTATAGGGAGATTCTGTCTCAAAAATTAAAAAAAAAAAAAAAAAAAGAAGCATATGTAAAATTGACACAGCACACTAAAACTTGGGTATTTTATTTACTAATAAAGCAAAAAACCTAAACCAAAGGAAGGAAAGGGAACCTTGGTGTCCCGTTTTAGCATCTCACTCTCTGGGGTTATTAAAGAAAAATACTTTCCTACTCACAGGTAGAACAGGGAACTGAAAACAACCCTGGAACTTCCCCTTTGTTTTAGAAATAAACTGAAGGCCTTCTGGTCACAGGTCTTTCTACACATATATCTGTGACTTTTCATAGATGTATCAAGTGGAGAGTCTGTGAAAAAACACGTATTTTGGGGGAAGGGGGGGGTGGTCTCATGTAGCCCAGGCTAGCCTCTTAACTTGCTATGTAGCTGAAGATGGCCTTGAACTCTCAATCTTCTTGCCTTCACTTCCTGATATTTGGATTACAGGTAGTGCCACCACCCAGCTGAAATGCACTTAAAAAAATTATTTTCTGTGTATGAGCGCTTTGCCTGCATGCAAGTGCACCCTTGTTGTGCAATGTTCATGGAGGCCAGAAGAGGGCATCAGATCCCCTGGAACTGGAGTTACAATTCTTAGCTGCCAAATAGGTGCTGGGAATTGAATTTAGGTCTGCTGCAAGAGCAGCCATTGGGTCTTAGCTGCTGAGTCACCTCTCTAGGCCCTGAGAAGTAATCTCAAAACTAAAGTACTTGTGAACCAAGAAGTGACCGAGAAATAGTGACTGCCTCACTGTTGCTGCCTCACTGTTTCAGGAACATGTCTCTTGCCATCGCAGCTAATTTATTCTAATGAAGTTCCTGGACAGTACAGAGAGGATCATGCAATAAGATACAGAATTGTTTTGGGTTGGAGAGATGGCTTAGCAGTTAAGAGTGTATGCTGTTCTTGCAGTGGAGCAGAGTTTGGTTCCTAGTACCCAGACCAGGCAGCTTACAACTACTTGTAATTCCAACTTCAGAGAATCTAATATCTTTGACCTCCAGCCTCCAGGGATATCTGCATATGCCCTCCCCACCAAATGAAAATAAATCTTGAAAAAAAAAAAAAGAATTTTCTTTCCAAGTACACACACTATAGCGTTAAAGAAGAGAGCACACAGCCCGTTCTTAGGGTAGGTGTACTGACTTTCACAGTAAACTCAGTTTCCTTTAAGAGAAAAGATCTTAAACAAAAAGCTGGGCGTGGTGGCACATGCCTTTAATCCCAGCACTCAGAAGGCAGAGGCAGGCCGATCTCTGTGAGTTCAAGGCCAGCCTGGTCTACATAGTGAGTTGCAGGACAGCTGGGGCTACAGGGAGACCCTGTCTCAAAAAGACCAAAAAAATAAATAAAATAAAAATCTTTTATTTTATTATATGTATATGTGTGTCTCTTTGTGGCTATGCTCACATATGTGCTAGAATCTGAACTTGGGTCCTCTGGAAGAGTAGCAAGTGCTCTTAACCAAAGTGCCATTTCTCCAGCCCTAAACTAAAATTCCCATAAAACACCTTAGACGTGATGAATTCTTACAGAATAGAGCATGGTTTTGATGGGTGGTATCTTTTTATATTAAGAAAGAAACCAAAGGGACAAGAAACATGACTCATGGTTAAGAGCAGCTGCTGCTTTTCCAGAGGACCCAAGTTCTGTTTCTAGCACCCATGTGGGGCTATAACTCTAGTTCCAGGGGACCCAATGCCCTTTTCTGGCCTCTGTGGACACCTGTACACACATGACATAAACTCATACAGACATACATATACATAAATAAAAACAAACTCTTTTTTTTTTTTTTGTCAGAGACAGGGTCTCCCTGTAGCCCCAGCTGGCCTGGAACTCACTATTGTAGACCAGGCTAGCCTCAAACTCACAGAGCTCCACCCGCTCTGCCTTTTGAGTCCTAGATTAAAGGCATGTGCCACCATACATGGCAAATAAAAAATAAACCTTAAAAAAAAATAATAGTAAAGTTACTCATGACTGTCTTGTGAGGTATAGGTACCTTACATGCTTCAACTGAAGTCTTGCTCCAGCAGTATTAGGACCCTAAAAAAATACATACCCCGGTTGCTAGCTCCTCACACTGCTGCTTCTTGGAAGCCAGGTCCTGAGCAGCGGTCTCCAAGTCATACTGCATAAGTTCATGCTTCCTGCACACAGCCCTTGGGATGAACAAGTGCCGCCATTTAGCTTTCCTGGCTGCTTTAACATGTCAAAAAACACTTTTCAGGAGTATGGGTATTTGCAATATCTTACTAAGTTCAGACCTTTGGTGATCAGAACTTTGGGTTTAAAATGTAATAGCCCAACATTAAAAATTAAACCTACCCAGGCATGGCAGTGCCCACCTTTAATCCCAGCACTTGGAAGACAGAGGCAGGTAGATGGATTTCTGTGAGATCGGGTCAGCCAGGGCTACATAGTGAGACCCTGTCTCAAAACATCACCAGCTATAACATCTAGCAAAATATAAGTATAAAAAGCTTATATATGCAAACAAAACATTGTTGATATCATTCTTTTCAATAAACATATTACTAGTATGTATTTGAGAATTTTATACATGCATAATGTTTTGATCAAATCCACCCCCCTCAATTTCTTCCCCTCTAATTCCTCCCTATTCCTCCCACCACTTTTCCCTCCCAACTTCATGTGTTCTTTTTTAAAAGCCAGATCCACTTAGTGCTGCCTGTACGTGCATGTGTATAGGGACATCTACTGGAGCATGGGTAGTCCTTCATGTATGAGGTTTTATAATCTCCCAAGTAGAAAAGGCATGCAGATGTGGGAAAATGACAGAATAAAAATGATAGTATGGCTGTGTGTGGTGGTGCACACCTTTAATCCCAGCACTCAGGAAGCAGAGGCGGCCAGATCTCTGTGAGATGGAGGCCAGCCTGGTCTACATGGAGAGTTCCCAGCCAGGTGGGGCTACAGGGAGACCACATCTCAAAAAAAAGACTGTATGCCTGGTGACAGTCAGGGCTCCACATTCTCTATACCTGTATTTTGCTCCCAATTTTCAAACAAGAAAGAGTAGAAAGCAACAACCCAGACAGGCTGGAAGCATGACATTAACAGCTCTTGTCAACAGGTTGCCTTAAGGGCAGGGCTTCTCTTGTATCTTCATGAGTAATACTCTGAAACACAGAGGGATCTCATTCACCTCTGATGGAGTGAATTCATTTTAAAGCACCTCACTATCTATATTTACAGAAACAAATGAAGTCCAGATCAGCCCAGGCCTGCACCTGGAACTTCTATTAAATACTTACCGCAATGCTTCTGCATAAAATAGATACTCCTTTAATTGATCTGCGTAATGCTCCTCATCTTCCAAAATATCATCAATAGAAGATGCATACCTGTTTTAAAGAACACTGCATAAATAACTCTATGACATGAAATATTTTAAAGAAGTGCTATTCAAAGTATAGTCAAGGGCCAATGAGATGGCTCAGCAAGTAAAGGTACTTGCTGTCAAAGCCTGACAACCTGAGTTTGATCCCAGGACCACCCCATGGTGACAGAGGAGAGAGAACTGATTCCCACAAGTTGTCCTCTGACTTCCACATGTGTACTGTGGAGGCATGTGTGGATGTGTTCCTCCCACCCCCAGAGTGAGACCCTGTGGAAGAAAGGAAAGGAAAGAAGAAAGGAATAAAGGAAGGAAAGATGATTTAGATATCAGCACTAACAATAATTTTATTTAATATTTTAATACATCAACTGGAGGGATGAACCTGAATTTTTGCAAATACCAAAATGCTAATAAATCAATAGAATACGAGGAGACTTACGTTTAAAGAAATCTGTTGAAAGACAGCTTGAGTATGGCATAAAGAAAAGTATTTAAATAAAAGAGTTCCTTAATCCTACAGCTTAAAGTGTGGCTTACAGTTTGGCTTATAGCTTAAGATATATTTAAAGAGGGTTGAAAAGATGGTTCAGGGTTAAACACACCAGCTGCTCTTGCAGAAGACCTGGGTTGATTACCAGCACCCAGATGGCAGCTAACAACCATCCTAACTCTAGTTCTAGGGGAAGCCAACACCCTCTTCTGACCTCACAGGCATTGCATGACACAGGTGCACTTACATACACGCAGGCAATACACTCATACATATAAAATAAAAATATTAAAAAGATATATTTACAGTTTTTATATAAGTATACACTGAGGCATGATTTAAGTAACATATCCATCAACTGACATACATATCTTTTTATTTTTGGTCTTTTTGAGACAGGGTCTCCCTGTTGTCCCAGCTGGCTTCAAACTCAGAGATCTACCTGCCTCTGCCTCCAGAGTACTGAGATTAAGGGTATGTGCCACCATTCCTGTCTATGTATCTTTTTTGTGATGAGAATATTTAAAATCTAGCTTTTGTCTTTTTATTATTGGTTTAAAAGAATTATTTAACTACGGTAGAAACGTTTGCTTTCAGCTCATGGCTGCTAATCTCTTCATTATGTTAATGCTGTCTTTTTTAGAAAAAAGATTAATTTTAAAGTGTGTGTGTGCACATGCCTGCGGAGGCCAGAGTCATCAGATCTCCTGGAGTTGGAGTTACAGGTGGTTGAGTCACCCAATGTAGGTGCTAGGAACTGAACTCAGGTTCTCTGCAAGACAAGTAACTGTTCTTAACTACTGAACTATCTCTCCATCCCCAGTGTTGTCTTTTTTGCCATGGAGGACAGAAGAGGGTGTTGGATTCCCTGGAACTGGAGTTAAAGACAGTTGTTAGCCACCATGTGGGTGCTGGGATTCGAACCTCAGTCTTCTGCAAGAACAGCCAGTGTTCTCAACCGCTGAGCCATCTCTCTAGCCCCTTGTTCTTTTTGTTTTAAGGCAGGGTCTCACATAGCTCAGGCTTTCTCAAACTCCTTATGCAGCCAATGATGACCTTGAATTTCTGGGCCTCCTGCCTTCCCTTCCATACTGGAATAATAGATATGCACTCTACAACTCGTTTTATGTGGTACTGGGGACTGAACTCAGGGCTTTGTGAATGCTAGGCAGCAGAGGCCGGGAGGTAAATCACCATCCTGAGAATTTTTACTATTAACAGGTGGTAAAATTTACCAAATCACTTTTCTAACATGTATTGAAATACACATGCAGATTTTTACAATTACTCTTGTGAATATATGAATTAGCCTAGTTTCAGAACACATGAATTAACCAATCTTGCATTCCTGAGATAAATATAAGTCATATATATACATGCAAAGCATCGATAGAGATGCAGGTGAAGAGCCTCAGGTTTATGCTTGGTTTAGGGACTCACACGTCCATGTGATGACCAGCACTCTGCAGCCCGTCGCCCATTTCTTTTTCTATGGCACTCCATTCACTAGGAAGAAAAGAAACAAAAGCACCATGAACTAGAGATCTGGACTATTATAAGATTCTTTTAAAAGGTCTTTTCTAGCTAGCTTTGAAATATATTGTATAGTACCATATTTGGATTTATTTTCTGTGATTCAAATATGTTGTTTTATACTTAAATTTTATTTTTTAAAAATTTTAATTTATTATTATTTTTATTTTATGTGTATGAGTGTATTGCCTACATGTAGGTAAGTGCACCCATGTCATGCAATGCCCGTGGAGGTCAGAAGAGGCTGTTGGATTCCCTGGGACTGGAGTTACGGACAGTTGTTAGCTGTCATGTGGGTGCTGGGATTCAAACCTGGGTCTTCTGCAAGAACAACCAGTGTTCTTAACCACTGAGCCATCTCTCCAGCCCCTTATCCTTAAATCTTAATAACTAAATGAAGGAAAACAAAAACACAGGGCTAGGGATGTAGCTCAGTTGGTAGAGTGCCTGCCTAGCATGTCCCAGGCCCTGAGTTTCATCCCCAGTATCACAGAACCTCAACATGGTGGCAAATCCTGTAATTGCTGCACTTGAGAGAGGCAGGAAGATTAGGAGTTAAGGTCATTCATTAAAAAAAAATTATTTTTATTTTATGTGTAGAAGCGTTTTATGTATATAAATGTACCATCATGTAGTGCCTGCGGAGGTCAGCACTGGTTGTTAGCCACCATGTGGGTGCTGGGTCCTCTGCAAGAGCAGCTAATGTTCTTAACTGCAGAGCCATCTCTCTAACTCTTCAAGGTCATTCCTGATTACATGGCAAGTTCAAGATCAGCCTATCTCAAAATATAAAAAGAAAATGAATAAATATAAAAATTCATAAAAATAGTTTTAAAATAACCCAAGTATGTAAGCTATATAGAGAAATATCCACCCCACCCTCTCTACTGGGTACTGAGGATTGAGCCCAGGCCTCATAAAAGCTAGAAAAGTGTTCTACCACTGAGCTAGCCCCTACACACTCTAAGTACCACTGAAATTACCCTAAGCCTGAAAAACTTATCTTGCCAAAGTCTTCACTAAATTATAAAATAACAAAAATAAAGAAAATACCTAATTGTACTAGACCATAACGTCCAGTGATTCTTCTCAGGCATTTAACAAAGAAAAAGACCTCACACTTGCTTCAGTCAGAGTAGCTTCCCTCTCATCTGGTCAGTGTGTGGAATTTTCTCACTACTTTCTGTTTAAAGAACAACTTTGCAATGAAAAAGACATGGCTGAAAAACTGAAAGCTATTACAAGACATCATTAAATAATGTTCTGTCAGGTGAGATGACACACAGCTATAAATCTCCATACCTGAGAGGAGGACATGGGTGGACTGCTGCAAGTCTGAGATCAGCCTGAGCTACAGTGTAGAGTTCCTGGATAGCTAGGGCTACATAGTGAAAGCCTGTCTCAAACAGGGAGATGGCTCAGTGGGCAAAGCACTTGCCATGCAACCAGGAGGACCAGTGTTCACATCCCTAGCACCTAAATGATGGGAGGGCTTAGTGGCCCACCTATATTCCAGTACATGAGAGGTGGAGACGGGACATCCCTTGAGCAAGGTGGCTAGCTAGACTAGCTGAACTGAGGAGCTCTGAATTCAAGTGAGAGAACCTGCTCTAATGAATAAGGTGGAGGGTGATCGAGAGACACCTAATGTCAACCTCTGGATAGTTTTCAAATTTTGTTTTTTAAGCCAAAGAGCTGATTAGAACCGTTTACATACTATTTACCTGAAAACTCGTCCATAATTTCCATGTACTTTATACACACCATAGAGTCGATCTGCTACTCTCTGAAATATTTAACAGAAATTGACATTAGGTTGAAGTTGTATACAGTTTATTTTTTTTAAAGTTCATATACATTTTTTAAAAAGAAAAAACCCCAACAAGCATGCTTAATATAATCGACTGGGAAAATACAGAAAAGAAAAATACTTAATCTCTAAAAAAAACAGCATAAAACTGGAAACTGAGCTAGTGCCCATATATTTGTTATATCTTTCCACAGTTTTTTTTAATGTATTGCTTTTACATTTATTTTAAAAAATATTTATTTTTATTTTATGTGTATGAGTGTTTTGCCTGCATGTGTGTAAGTGCATCTGTGTCATACAATGCACAAGGAGGTCAGCAGAGCATATTGGATCCCCTGGGACTGGAGTTACAGACAGTTGTTAGCTACCACATGAATGCTGGGAACTGAACCCAGATCCTCTGTAAGAGCAGCCAGTGCTCTTAATCTCTCCAGCCCCATGTTTTACTTTTCTGATAGCAACAGAAGTGGAATTTTTGCTTGGCAGGTCAGCGGGGGCTTTAATAAACACCACATGAAACAGGTACATAAAATCAAAGGCCATGCAGACTATATAGGTTTTCTTTGTTGAACAGCCTTATTGGGTACTCAGCTATTCCTTTTCTTCTTTCCAGAATTATAATGTTGCAGAAAGCATCTCTGAAGGAAACCTTTTTTCGTGGCACTATAACAGAGATGTCTTGACTGAAGGAGTAAGTGACTGAACACTGAAAAGGACCAAGTCCACGAAATGCTGTTAGATGATGAAATTTTAAAAATCTGGACACACACAGCCTTTTCTCCTTGGAAGCTCCTAAGGAATCTCAAATTTTGAGACTTGGGACTCCCGATACTCTCCATCAAAATGGTTTGCAAAGGAGCTGTATGAGCCACTTTCTACTGCATCACCACTGCACACTGCTGACAGCAGATACCACATTTATAAGCAACTTCACAGCAAATGTTAAAGATTACAATAACTATAATTTGCATGTCTAGAATGCTAGCAAAGTCAACTTGTGCTTTATAATAGTCACAGGAGACATTAAAAATAAAAATTAGTAGTCCAATAAATACAGATTCAAGTGTTTTTTTTTTTTTTTTTTTTTTTTTTTTTCGAGACAGGGTCTCCCTGTAGCCACAGCTGTCCCATTAAAAAATAAAATTTGTAGGCCAATTAATTCAGATTCAAGTTTTTTTTTTTTTTTTTTGTCTTTTTGATGCAGGGTCTCCTTATAGCTCCAGCTGACTTAGAACTTACTGCGTAGACCAGGCTGGCCTTGAACTCACAAAGAATCCACCTGCCTCGGCCTCCTGAGTGCTGGAATTAAAGACATATGCCACTACGCCTGGCCACAAGTTCAATTCTTATGTTAGAGTTTGATTCTGAAGAACTGATTAGACTATTTCAAGTCTTCATGTTTCATGTTTCTTTAGGAGATGCGGACATGACCTCCATGAGATGACTTTGTGCCAGGCAGGGTGCTCACTGAATCTATCTCTCCCTTTTTCCACCTGAATTCCCACTGTATGTCCACGCATCATTTATAGGGTAAGAGCATGGGCTCTGGAAGCAGATTTCTGGTCTGATTCTGGATCCTGGTCTAAGATCTGTTTATTGTGAGATACTGGACCTTATTTAATTTCATTTGCCTCTGTTTCTGTTTCCTACTTTATAAAATGGGAAGAGTAACAGGATACCTGCGAAGGGCTTTGGGACTTAAGTGAGGCTATCATGACATGTTTGAGCATCACAGCATACATACAAAGGTTAAGTGTCAGTTTTATTTTCCTTTTACTTTAGCTCACAAACACAAATGAGTACTGGAGTCTCTATATTGAGTACCTATTATATATCAGGTGGGTAGCAGTAAGTCTCAGGCTTATAGCCAAAACAGATAAGAAAATGGTGATTAAGTGACAAGTACTTTCCTTGTCAATTGTCACAGAGCTCTGGGACCACTTACAGCTCTGACTCGAAGGAGATGTGAGATGACAGACTGTAATTCATCACTGTAGTGTTTAAGTTCAGTAAACCTCCTGAAACAGTAAACAAAATATCACTTATGAAAACAAGAATCAAAGTTTTATACACAAAACAGCAGCTCCTGGGAATAATGAAATGATTCTATTTAAACCATATCCTGGCCTTGAAATTATAAACCAATATAATCAGAAAAAAAAATCTAAAACAAAACAGCATTTAAAATATACAAATATATGTTGAAAGCCAAGAAAAAAGCATATTTCTTAATTTATATCATGAAACTGAAGGAGAAATAAAATCTGTGGATATGGCAAATTACTTTGAAAACCCAGAAACAAGAAAAATGTTATGGTGCTAGAACTACTATGCAACCTAACAGTGGTCTCTAATGGCAGTTTAGTGGCTCTCAGTAGTCCCTGTGTCCCATTCTCCATAAAGACCCCAGGCTTCTAATGTCCCACCTGCTACTCTCCACACAGACAAGCTGAAGCCAGCAGATGGAGATGAGCGGACCCCCAGGTCTGCTCCTCATAGCCAGTTCACAGCTTTCTCAAATCTACATCAATTTGTCTTCTACTTTAAAATCAGTTTCCACTCTATGTAACAGATTCTAGACCTCATATTATTTCCTAACTTCTCCTTAGCATGATAATTAACTCAGGTCTCTCCCAGATTAAAGTACACATACATACTCCCTTGACTACACTCCCAGCTGTTAACACTCTCAGTATCCCCCTTTTATAACCAAGCCTCCAGCAAGTGTTACTACTCCCTGGTGAGAACCACTTCTTCCCTTCCCATGCAGTTCATGGCCTGGTAGATCTGCCTTTGCCTTGAGCATTACAATGGTGAAATACTTCTGACAGAGGCACCATGTTGCTGAAACCCAACAACACGTTTTAGTCCCCTCTTACTCATCATGCTTGTCCTCAAAAATTATTTCCCTTGACACCAATGGCTCTTTCCCATATTTCATTTTACTCTCTGACCAACCTTGAAGTTGCTCCTGCAGTACTCACCTCCCTCATGCACTCCTGAAATGTTTGTTAAGAAACCTACTGAGAGGGGCTGGAGAGATGCTTCAGTAGGTAAGAGCACTTGCCACAGAAGCAACGAAAGGACCTGAGTTTAAGTCCCCAGCACCCACATAAAAGCTGGGCATGGCTGTGCTTCTCTTGTAACTCCAGCACTGTAGGATGGAGACAGATGGATTCTGGGAGCTCCCTGACCAGCCAGTCTAGCCAGAATGGTGAGCTTCTGGCTCCTGGACTACAGAATGAGATTTTATAACAACTCCTCCAAGCCAAAACCACCATTAAGGACTCTCAGTAGGAGTATGTGAACAGTTAGTAGGACAGAGGCCCACTGGCACTCAGAGATTTGAACTTATAACAAATTCACCTCAAGCTTCAGATGCTGGTTATTCTTAGGTTACACTTTGGAAAACCCTCACAGTGTTGGTACTCCTCAGATTTGAGTCCTAGGTTCTCAGCCATCTTCCAATTGGTCTTTCAATGTACACATTATGTGCCTTGCTCATGATGCTTTATGGTTATGAATGACATGCTGACACATTCCAAATTCCTGCCTCCAGCCCAAACACTTTCCTAAACTTTAGATCTATAAAGCTGCCTGATTAGCAGACATCTGCAGTCACTTATCCAAAGTCTGACCCAGTTTCCACTCATCCCTGAAAGTGTTCCATAGTGGTCTTGTGGAGTGAAGCCTGCATGCCACCTGCATTTCTCCCCCCTCCCTCACTTCCTACCTTCTTTCTATTCACCCAGCCTGCCCGTTCTACCTCCCAAGGATTGTCTAGATCTGCTCACACTGCTTTGGCCTTTCTGTAAGAGCCCTGTTAACATTAGTACCATCACTCCTCACCTGGAATTCTCCTACAGTTCTGACTGGCCTCACCCCACACACTCTAATCTATTGTCCACTCTGCTTAGACAACCTTCCTAAAGTCAAGGCCTATATAATTCTTCTGCTTTTAATTAGGTTTCTTTCTAGTTCAGGTTAGTCATTGATCTTGAGACAAAATCTGAATTCTTTTTCTTAGATCTAGTTTATTTTACTTACGTGTGTGTGTGTGTGTGTGTGTGTGTGTGTGTGTGTGTGTGTAGGTGCTCATGTAAGTCGGAGGTTTCTGATCACTCTGGAGATGGAGTAAGCCACTGCATTTGGGGGCTGGGCAGTGAACTTGGGTCCTCTGAAAGAAGCAGTATGTATTCTTAACCACTGAGTCATCTCTCCAACCCTAGTCTAAATTCTTTACTTTTTTTTTCTTTGTTTTTTTTTTTGAGACAGGGTCTCCCTATAGCCTGAGCTATCCTGGCACTTGTTATGTAGACCAGGCTGGTCTTGATCTGAGAGCTGCCTGCCTCTGCCTCTGGGGTGCTAGAATTAAAGGAATGCACCACCACCCCCAGCCCATTTTAAATTCTTTAGTGTAGCTTAGGCAACTTCTTACAGAGCTCCTGCATGCAATTCCTATGGTCCATCTATCACAGAGACAGCCAGCCCGAAGGAAGCAGCCACTGCACTGAATACTCACTCCCTTCAAGGCAGTGCTTTTCACTTAAGAGAACACAGGAATGAAAGGGTTGCTGAACATGACTGGCATTAAGAGGTGTGCAAATCCAGACCTGATAGAGCTTCACACACCACCTGAGAGGTAGAAAATGTCCTTTCTGATCTTGTTTGATTGTAGGATAAAAATCTAAACATTGTTGAGGTGTCAAACTCTTGGGAGGGGAGTGTGAATAGACAGACAAGGATGGAGTGAGACTTTTCATTCAATGAACTTTCTATACCCACCAATCAACACATATACCTGGTGAATCATTAGAATGCATTACATAGTCAAACAATTCTTAAAATGTTTAATTAAGTAAAACGTATATTATCCTAGACAACTGGGAACTGCTTACTATGTAGAGCCAGTAATGTTTGAGCTGGTACCATTTTCCTGTAGAAGTTAAAATTTACATTGAAGTATTAACAAGCAAATAGTTTTTTAAACCCTGTCAATCCTTTAATCTTGTGCTGGGAAGTAGGAATCAGAAATCCTGTACAATTAGGTTCTCTGAAGCCTCTCTAGCCCTGATACCCTAAGGGCCTTTTCTTTTAGGAAAGGCGTACTATAAAATTCTTATTGTCATATTGGGTTATGAAAACATTCGGAGCAATATAGAGTTAAAGACTCAGTACATCTAAATTAAGTGAAAGGAAAGGTCCTAGCACCTTTAGTCACAGAATGTATAAGGCATACCATTGTTCTCTAACTGATTAACAGAATGGTATACTGTCTTTTATATGGCAGGTGGAGAAGGGAGGGAACTGCACCCCCAGGGGACCATATCACCAGAGAATCAGAGTTAACAGATTCTAAACACTGAATGTTTAGAATTCTAAACACTAAATGTTGCATCTTTGGAGAAATCAGATATTAGGAAATAAGAAAACTTCAAGGTGAAAACTGAAAAATCTATCAAACCTTAGAGAGTGATGTGCATTTAAGAAATGAGAGAATGCATTTTCTAGAAATGAGGTCTAGATCCACGGCCAAAGTCAAAATCCAGTAATGTCTGCAAACTGAAACGAGATTCTCTTACCCTAAGTGATTAGGTGTTCTTTGAGAGTAAAGACTAAGAAGCACATATAATAATGTCAGATTGTTGTAGTCTTACTGGGTAGGGGGCAGCTAACGGAGATATTCTCTAGGGAGACTGATCTAAAGCTTCTTTCTCACAACACCAAACATCCACAATCCTGAGTATGAAGCATGCAAAAGTCAATACATAAGTATAGATTCTAACAAGCATGTAAGCCTGAGGTTGTCCACACTAATATACCCCATGGCCCCAATCCACTTTATTTTCTGCTCTTCTCAAAACAATCCTAGTTTTGCTACAGCTAAAGGCTGCTTTTCATTTTCCATACTTTAACTTGGTTGGCAGTCACTGCACCCTCTCAACCTCAACAGGTGCCTCCCCTAAGCAAATCTCAAGCATTATTTAAGCCTCATCTTGAAAATAATCCCCACCAAGGTTTCTTCAGTCTCAAAGTTCAATGCTGCAAACACGGTTTAGAGACTAAATGCTGCCTATTTCACATTGTTTTCAAAGGATTTTTGTCACACTGAAAGTATTGTCATACAGATTTTCTTTAAAAAATTATATATATACATATACATATATATGTATATGTATATATATAAAATGAGTGTTTTGCCTACATGTATATTAAGTGGACCAAGTGCATGCAATGCCTGCAGAGGCCAGAAGACGACATTAGATCGCTCGAGTTACGGACAGCTGCAAGCTGCCAAGCTGGTGCTGAGAACCTAGCCTGGGTCCTCTGTAAAAGCAGTCAGTGCTCTTAACTGTTAAGTCATCTCTCTAGCCCTGTACAGATTCTCTTAGACTTATTTACATCTTGTGCAATTACTCAAAAGCAAAGGAACTCAATGCATTGTGGGAATCTAAATGCCTACAAGGAAATTATAAATGTCAGTTAGTCTCCCATTCCTCCTCCAGCTTCTGTACTTCCGCCCAGTCTGTATTTGGGAATTCTTAATATGGTGCCCTGAGCCTCTGGTTTTATTTTTGTTTTTGGTCTTTATGAGACACGGTCTCCTTTGTAGCCTCAGCTGGCCTAGAACTCACTATATAGACCAGGCTGGTCTCAATCTCAGAAAGATCTGCCTGCCTTTGTCTTCAGAGTGCTGGGACTGAAGGTGTGTGCCACCCCACCTGGCTAGGTTTTATTTTTTTATATACAAATTTTATTTATCATTATTGTGTATGTGAATGTGAGTATGGATGTGCTAAGGCATGTATGTGGAGGTCAAAGGACAACTTTTAGGATTTGGTTCTTTCTTTCCATTCAGGTCTGTGATGTTTTGAGTGATCCTCCTGCCTCTACCTCACATCTCACCATAGGAGTGCTGGAATTATAGATTCCATTATGCACCACTGCATTTGGCTCTTTTGTGTGGGTTCTGGAGATCAAATTCAGGTCTGTGGGCAAGCACTTTTATGAACTGAGCTATCTTGTCAGCCCTGACCGAAGACTGCTGAAGAGAACTCAACACTATACTTTTCTTCTCTCTGTCCATATTTCCTGCTCCACACTCAGCAGAGGATAAGCTGAAAATCTGGAAGCTCCAAGAATGATGCAAGCAAATTATAATTCAGAATCTGAACATGAGGCCTGCTTTCTTCTAAAAGAAAAAAATGATTTTAATTATGATTTAACTGAAGTCAAAGTTTTGTTTTTAAACAAGAAAAACTAACAACTGCAGCCAGTAAATGAAACTTCTACTGGGCAAGGCAATGAAGGACACAAGATAAAAACTGTTCATTTATACAAAAAACAGATTTTAAAACAACTAACCAAAGAACATGTTACTTATGTAATCTGGTTTATCCTCTAGATTTTGTTTTAATGGGTTTAGCTTATTCGAAACACAATATAAAGAGGCAATGAATAGCCATAAAGCAATCATAGGTGCACTCAAACAAGCAATGAAAGGCAAACTCCATTTGGAGCACACAAAGTCACCTGCAGTAGAAGACTAGGGTCCCTTCTCATGGCCTTTGATAGCCAAGTCTGGGAAATATAGGCAGGCATGAAGCCAGTTCTAGGAGCAGCATTTTGGTAATCTCTCTGAAACAATCATTCTGGTTTCCTGCACTTTAGGAAACAACAGAGTAAAACTTTTTGTGATGTATGTTTAATAATGGTGTGAATAATAATTTATTGTAGTACCTAGACCTAGAAAACAAGGAGTTATACATATGAGGAATCGAGTACAACAGAAAGACAAATTTTCTTACAACCACACACTGATCTTATATTTTGATAATATAACTGGTCATATCACATCTGAAAGTCTACACATCCATAAACAATATAAATAGAAAATAAAATCCAACAATTCAGATAGTAAGATCAGAAAAGGCCAGCAAAAACTCAATTGATAAAGTCTTTTTCATGACATTGAAAAACACTGAAAAAAGCTGATCAACAAAGCATTCATATTAAAGTATTAATAAAAAATAAAAAATCTGGGGCTGGAGAGATGACTCATCAGTAAAAAACACTGACTGCTATTGCAGAAGACCAGGGTTTGAATCTCAGCACCCACATGGCGGCTAACAACCATCTATAACTCCAGATCCAGTGCATCCTCAATGCCCTCTTCTGATTTCCTTGGGCACTCCATGACATGGTGCACTTACATACATGCAGGCAATATACTCATACATATAAAATAAAATAAAGAAAATAAACCCTCTAAATATACAGCTACTGAAATTATGAAGTTTATATCATTTTTGAGGTTTTAAAAAAAACTTATCTACAAAACACCTTTTATGCACCATGCATGTCATTTTAACACATAAAAACTTCAAGTGGACCTTAAATATATGTTACTAAATGACAGAAGCCAATTTGAAGGCTACCTAGCTACTGTCTGATGTGACATTCTTTAAAAAGGAAAACTATGGAAAGAGGAACAAGCAGAAGCTGCTAGGGCTGGAAGAAGGGATGAACGGGCAGGTGGAACACAGAGGATTTAGACTGCGACATCTACTCTATGACACTGTACTAGTTATGCACTCATCCCAAACCCACACAGTGTCCAAGAGCCAGAGTGAACCAGAATATCAATAACCTATGAGCAATGATATTGATCTGTCAGAGGAGGTTCAGTGCTCATAACAAATGCAACACACTGGTGTGGGAAGTAGTGCACGAAGTCTGGGGAGAGGAAACAGAGAGTACTCTAGAACTCCATGCTTTATGCTGTGCATCTAAAATACAAAGTCTGTTAAAAAGACAAAACTTTCTGGGGATGGTGGCACACACTTGTAATTCAAGCACTCAGAAGGTACAGACAGGAGGGTTGGGAGTTTGAAGTCAGTCTGGGCCATATGGAATCCTGTCTCAAAACAGTATCAGCAAAAATAGAGCCAGGATTAGGGGTTTGAGGGCAGGCTGGGCTATGAGACATCCTGTCTCAAAAAAGAAAAGAAAAATAACCCCACCTCAATGGTTATCATCATAACTTCCCAACCACTCAAACTTTAAAAAAAAAATTCCTTCACAGCTGGGGTTCCAGCACTTGGGAGGCAGAGGCAGGTGGATCTCTGTGAGTTCGAGGCCAGCCTGGTCTACATAGCGAGTTCCAGGCCAGCTGGGTCTACAGGGAGACCCTGTCTCAAAAAGACAAAATAAATAAATAAATAAGAATTCACATTTTAAATTAAGATTGACATTAAAAATCAAGAAGTGCTGGGGATTTATCTCAGTGGCAGAGTGCTTGCCTTGCATGCAAGAGGCCCTGAGTTCCATCCCCAGCACAAAACAAACAGGCATTTTCATTAACATGTTACCATTTATAAAGTAAGGTATGACTGGTTATCAAAATATACAAACTCTATTTGGTAGAATTTATACTATAGAGAAATTAATGCCAAGGGACTCACTAGAGAAATTTCAAACTGCTCTCCTAAGCTAGGTCCCTGAAAACAGAGACTCTGCACCTGCCTAAGGACTTGCAGCTGCAAACCATCTGCAGCAGAGGCAAAGTCTCAGGTAAAGGAACATACAACGAAGAGCCTGGCCTGGCTACAGATGCTGAGAATGAGCAAAACCTGAAATCTTCAACGTATCAAACAGCAGTCCTTTCTGAAAAGACTGGATTCTTTATCCTAGACACACTCTCAGGAACACCAAATGGACAGGAATGACATCCAGTACTTGTCATGAAAATTACTGCTCCACAAAAGGATTATGCAGGTGTACTTGGGATACAAATTAGACTTTTAGTAAATATATGTAATTTTGTTAAACTCTGCATATTTGATAAGCAGTCACACTAGGAAAATCATATGAAATTACAATTACTTTTTTCATTTTTCTGCTATTTTCAATATTTAATAAATGTAGAAGAAAAACACAGTGGTTCAACTTTCTAAAACTTCAGACATAACCTTAACCCAATTATGTTACCAATTTTCAACATTAGTTTTAGACTATTAAGGACTTCACAAAACATGAATGATTATTTAAAATATTTAGCAAATAAAGTGCATACATTCAGAAATGAAAAATTAAATAGATTGATAGGCACCATTCACAACAACATTGTAAATTGTTATTAAAGCAAAACCTTACTTGTCTGGGTTTTTCACTCTGAATGTTGCATTAAGCGCTTTTAACCTGGAGTCTGCCTGGAAAAAATAATTTATTCACTTAATACAATTAACATTTCAGGGTATATAAGATTTAAACAGCTTTATTTTCCTTTCTAAATTAAAGTGCTCATGTACAATTCTCTTTATAGCAATCGTTGCAAATACATTAAACACACTGAAAAAGAACAGCTTAGTAATTTTGAGAACACTATGTAAACATGTTATAAATTAGACTGTATATATGGCCTTCAGTGACTCCAAAGCAAAACAACTGCAGATACCAACATACTAGTAATAATACTTGTCCTGCATTACTGTAAGTCAGGGTAAGTCACGAGAAAGAGTTTTACTTTTTCCTCTAAGCCAAGAAAAGCAACGATGTGCCTAAGTAATCTGCCTGTGCACTCTGAGGGTGGTTCTCAGATGGAATCCAAACCAAATGTGCTCTGGATTTTCTCACTATCATAATCAGTATCTCAGAAAAAAGGGAAGAAATTTGGAAATGCCCACATTAAAGTAATATGATACTAAAGAAATGACATCTTACTTTAGAGCTAGTTCATAATGTTCAAGACAGCTCTTTACTTTTGTTTTGGTTTTTGAGACAGGGTCTCATTCAGGCTAACCTTAACGTCCTGACCCTCTTGGTTCCACCTCCCTAGTGCTGGGATTACAGATGAGGCAGCATGCCTGCCTCTCAAGACAAGGTATCCTTTTAACTACTTCTTTCTAGATTAACTGGAGAGACAAAAGGATAAACACAAAATAATAATTTCATTGCATGAATGCATAGTGTATTCAAAATCATATTCACTTAAGAAAAAGAAATCTAAATACCTCTTCTGCCTGAGGTACAGGAATTAGTGTTTGTCACAGTAAGCAGTTCAATTATAAATCAACTTCAAAAACGTAGTTTGGTTTCAAAAACCCCTGTTCCCTTGAAGATTGTACACACTGTTTCAATTTCTAACCCAAATTACAAATATTCTCCATTAACAAAACAAAGTAAACCCCAAACACTAGAACTTTCTAGGTTGCTTGGATAAGAAAATAAAAACTAACGTAGCAAATCTGCTCCTCCGTACACTCATCTCCCAGAACTCTAGAGCCCAAGGGGTTTGAACAGCTAGCTAGGGAATACTGAAAGAAGCGTACTTTAATGATTGAGTTTTACGTTAATGTGTGCTTTGCCTGCCTTTATGTAAGTGTACCCTGCGTGTGCCTGGTGTCCATGGAGGACAGAAGATGGTGTTGGATCCCCTAGAAATGGAGTTAGACTACTGTTAGCAGCCATGTGGGTTCTGGGAACTGAACCCAGATCCTCTGCAAGTGCAGTCAGCATTCTTACCACTGAATTCTCGATCCACCTGCCTCTGCCTCTAGAGTGCTGGAATTAAAGGCTTGTGCCACACTAGGCCAAAGCAGCATTCTAAAGCACTGACTTTAGGTGTTTCTCTTATTTCAAAAACTCTTACTTCACCAAGACTTGACCTTTCTTACATCTCATTGGCAAACGAGCTAGCACATGTTAAAGCTCTTGCAAATAAAAGCACCTGTGTACTGAAGGCATATACAATATTATACATCACTGCCAAAAGAGCTCACATATGCTAATGACCTAGTCACATGCAACTTGATAGTTTAAATGATGAAATTACATTAAAAAGCCCACCCATTTCACTTGTATGTTTTCTCAAATCTCATATTTTTAAATTCTATAATTTCTCTGTCCTCTCTTTTCCTCCCCCTCGTCCTTCCCTCCCCTTCTCATCCCCCCTTCTAAATTTTTAGCACCTCCAATTTAACAATTTAGAAGCCATAGTAATAGAAACGGTAACTATCTTAACCTTTCTTTACCAACACTTATGTCAGATTAGGTCCGTGACCATATCCAGCTCCATGTGCTTATTTTAAAATTACATGAAAAAAGAAACTGCTTAAACTGTCACCAAACCAAAGACTTCCCTGACACCCAAACCTCTGAAGAACTACCACCTAGGCTTCTGCAAATCTGACAGGTTACCATCCACCTGCCTGGTTTTTTTTCTTCATCAGACACTTAAGGATGCTCCTAACCTATTGCCATTTACACCACGTAGTTTTTCCCCTTTAAAACAGCATCTGAAATTATGCTGTTTGTGTTTCTTGGCTATCCATTACAATTTAAAGGCCATTTAAAAAAAAAAAAAAGCACAATTCAAATGCACATGCACACTGAATTTGCACAGAGGCAAGACTTTTATCTGCTTTATTTATTTCCTCTCAAACCTTGTCAAGTCAGCTACCCAAACTGTTCTTTCCTGACCCTTATGATGGACTCCACTGTAGGTCTCGTGAAGATCTCAACTCAAATATGATCTATTCAAGGGAGAGACATTGCAGCCAATTTGCTCCAAATAGTCATGATTTATGCCTTCTATCCTTATCTTATTATTATTTTGTCTTTTTGAGACAGGTTCTCCCTGTAGTCCCAGCTGACCTGAACTCACTATGTAGACCAGGCTGGCCTTGAACTCACAATGATCCGCCTCCCTCTGCCTCCTGAGTGCTGGGATTAAAGGCGTGTGTCACCACGCCTGGCTTCTAATCTTATTTTTAATAGAACCCCTGTTTACTTTCAAAGGGATCCATTTGGATAATACATTCTGTGCACTTTTTCTTGAATCAGGGTCTCCCTATGGACCTGGAGTGCTCTGGGACTCAGGATCGTCCTGCCTCAGCTTCCAAGTACTGGAAGTACATGTGTGAGCCATGTGAGCTGGTTTTTTTTTTTTTTTTCTCTTTTTTTTAAAAAAATAACAGTGTAAAAGTACAGCTATAGCAAGAATAAAAACAAAAAAAATGACAGGATTCA